TCTTTATAAAAAATTATATTATTAAACCAAATATAAATTACTTCGTTATTATACATAAATTAAATTATAAAAAAATTGGATTAAAAAATTACAAAAAAATGAGGAATCTCAAATAGTTAATTTGATACTAATATCGATATATTTTTGTCAAATTTTTATGATATCGTCAAACATAGATTTTATTCAAAAATAAAAGCATCATCGCTTTCTCAAAATCACATAAAGTCATATTATAACATCGACTGAGATAAAGAATAAAATGAAATATTAAAAACACGATGTATCTCGCTGCATTGCGCAAGTACGCTTCTAGTGTTATATTAATACAAGTCAAATGTTAAAAAAATTAAGTAATAGAATATATTAATTAATATATTTCAATTTGATTTATTATTATTTTATATATAATGTTAAAAAAATTGAATTTATATAACTAAATACAAATTCTAGAAAATATATACATTAAATGATGACTTCAATCAACCATTACATATAATCTATACTATCTTATAAAGCAAATTTAACAAAAGTCTTAAAGTCTTAAAATACTAAATGACCAAGATACCCTTTATATCATTTTTTCACCCTTCTCTCCTCACATACACTCACCCTCTCATAACCGTTTTTTTATCTATATTATCTTATAAAGCAAATTTAACAAAAGTCTTAAAACTCTTAAAATACTAAATGATCAAGATACCCTTTATATCACTTTTTCACCCCCTCATCTCCTCACATACACTCACCCCCTCACATACACTCACCCTCTCACAACCGATTTTTTTAAAATTATAATTTTAAATTTACACTTTATACCCCTATAATTAGTTAATTAATTTACTTTACGTCCTTTACTTTTAAATGTTTCATTTTAAACCTTTATCAAATTAATATACATAATCGTATATCAATTAAACATGTTTAAAAATACATTTTTATTTTAACAAGTTACACCATTATAATCGTCTCGTTAATACCTTCGAAATGAGTCATATATTAAATAGTTTTTGACTTAATTATATTATTATATGTTATATATACTGTGAAAAAATATTTTTAATATTTACGATTTATACTTTTATAGTTATTTATTTATATATATACTATATATTTTGAGGTTAGGCTGTCCAAATGGCACTGTATAATATGTTCTGAATTAATATGTTCAACCTTAATCTAAGTTTTTGGACAAAAAAGAGGGTAACAGTTGAAATTTCATTCTAAAACCCAATTTTTTTTGTCTTTTCATGGCTTATGATCTGTCAAATTTATAATTTT